CTCACAGTCATCGTCCCACCCCGCCGCCAGCCCCACGTCATGGTGAGCAGCTCGGGGGCCCGGGGGAGGGGAGGACCGAGAGATGCTCCATGCACTTCATGGTGACTGGTCACCTGTTTGGTCGTGACGGCACCTAGCTCTTTATATATATTAGGATACCTACAGTGGGCAAATTCATAGAAAAAAGAATAAAAGTTACAAGAGGTCGGGGGAAGCAGGAAATGGGGAGTTACTGCCTAATTGTGTGCCGGGTTTCTGTTTGGGATAATAAAGTTCTGGAAATAGTTACTGTGATGATTATACGACACTTTGGATGTACTTAATGCTGGTAGAATTATACACTTGAAAATGGTTAACAGGGTAAATGCAGCTATGGGTATGTTGCCACAATTAAAAACAAAAAGACTGGGGCATTGTCTTGTACAGTAACTTCTCCATAATGGGGTCAGGGGCCCTAGAGAAGTCTGAGCCAGGGAAGCTGCCCCCACCCACGCCCACGCACGCCCCCCTAAAATATGTGCAGTCACGGCCGCGGTCTGGTTGCTAAAAGAGGTTGCAGGAGGTGACTGTGAGAAGCAAGAGCCAGCCTCAGAAGTGGTGGCTGTGTGAGGGTGATGTTGGAGGGTTTTAATTGCTCCTGAATTAATGTGCTTACTTCTCACCCCTGGGGCGCCTGGGTTTAATTACTGTCTTAGGTCACATATGCAAATGAGTCTGCAAGCAATCCTGGTCCCCGTGGACAGCAAGCAGCCTGATTACCAAGCCCTCACACTTCGCAGGAAGAAGCAGGGATGCCGCTGGCCAGATGGCCTCCCATTAAGAACTGAGGGGAGTAATTAGATGAAGGTGGCGCCTGCCTGCCCCGTTTCTGGGTCTTAGATGAGCTGGAGAGCTCAAGGCTGTGTCTGGGAGCCCTTGCTGCCTGGGCAGAGAAGCCTGGAGTCCCTGAAATCTCGGAACCCTTTGGGATAGAGGATTTTATAGAAAAGGAGAGAAGTGGGCAGGTAGCTTGCAGGGGAGACTGGGGACCAAGGGCTGCAGGTTCAAAAGCTGAGAACGGGCCACACGTGTAGGGAAGCAGCAGGTGGGACCACAGCGGCCACGAGCAGTGAACAGCCTACTGTTGCCTCCTGGGAATGCAAGCCCAGTGTCATCAATCTTCCAATCCATTATAACCCAGAAATTGTAATTTTTACAAGAAATCTGTGTTTTTGATTTTGACAATTAGAATTTTTAAAAAACACTGGGTCTGGGGGTTGGGGTGGAGTTGACTGGGAAGGGGCTCAAGGCACTCTTGGGGGTGCTGGAAACGCTGCCGTGACCGATGCTGGCTGCTCGCTGTCTTTGTGAGAACACACCAAACTGTACTAAGTGGGTGCCTGTTAGTGCATGTAAATTACACCCCAAGGCTGTTAAACACACTGGGTCAGTGGGTCCTAGCGCTTCCCCGGTTGCTGCGAACATCCCACTCCACACTGGCTCCCTTTCCTTTTTAATCGCGACCACGGGTCCTTTACATGCTCTGAAGGCCGCCCTCCCCGTCCCCCGGCTACCGCTTCCCTGTACCTCTGTACCTCGTACGAAGCACTGGTTCAGTGGAGGGCTCCACCGGGGCTCAGCCGTTGCAGTGCGGGCAGCTGGCAGGGACGGGGGTGGGGTGG